AAGCAGGGAGAGCCAGGCGAGGGAGGCTTTGTGCATGGCCAGGCCTTGAGCGGAGCCCCCCTTGCCTGGCTGTTGTGCTCACTGGTTGGCAGGCGAGGGAGGTTTCGCCCAGCCATTTTGAGCAGGCGAAGGGGTAGGGACAAATGAGGTGGCCTTGCGACCCCTCCAAATTGGCCAAACGACCCCCCCTGGTGGTCACGAACCCCAGGTTGAGAACCGCTGACCTATACAATATATTTTATTATTAGCAAAGCACATCCCACAATAGGGATGTGGGAGACATTGATATGGAGGGAAAAAAAGCTCTGAAGCTAGGGATGTTTTGAAAACCAGAGGCCTACCCAGGCCCGTAGCTAGGATTTTGATTCGGGGGGGGGGGGGGAGGATCTGCCCTAGCAAACCTTTTGTATCGTTATCCCAATACCCCCATGCAAATGGGATATAATACCCCCATGCATATCTATATAAATAAAAATGTAATGTTCGTTTGTGGGATTAACAGAACTCAAAAACCACTGGACAAATTGACACCAAATTTGGACACAAGACACCTAACAACCCAATGTATGTCCTTCACTCAAAAATATGATTTTGTCATTTGGGAGTTGTAGTTGCTGGGATTTATAGTTCACCTACAATCAAAGAGCATTCTGAACCCCACCAACGATGGAATTGAACCAAACTTGGCACACAGTTCTCCCATGACCAACAGAAAATACTGGAAGGGTTTGGTTTTGGAGTTGTAGTTCACCTACATCCAAAGATGACTGTGGACTCAAACAATGATGGATCTGGACCAAACTCTACACGAATACTCAATATGCCCAAATGTGAATACTGCTGGAGTTTGGGGAAAATAAAATCTTGACATTTGGGAGTTGTAGTTGCTAGGATTTATAGTTCACCTACAATAACAGAGCATTCTGAACACCACCAACGATAGAACTGGGCCAAACCTCCCACACAGAACCCCCATGTGGGCCACAGCAATGCGTGGCAGGGGATGGCTAGTAGGACATATTGAGCATGGTGATCAGATCATTATATGAATAAACGTAACAGTTTAAATAATGTACCAGTAAGGCATTCTCGAGGACCACCCTGAGAATTTCGGGGGGGGGGGCTGAAGCCCGTCAAATCCCTTATTACATGCCTGGGCCTGCCCAAGGGTTTCACATGGAATTTGTTTGAACAAGCAATTCAACAGGCCACTTGCTTTTCGTAGTAAACAGCTCCTTGTGGGAATCAGCTTCACAAGGCTAAGTGGAAGAGCAAAACCGAATCATCAGACACTCCCCCGCCGTCCTCCGAGATACCTTCCCTTCTATAATCATAGCACGTCTATGAAAATTGTACACGTTTGTGGGGAGGATGCTCTGCTGGATACAATTCCTCCTCCAAAACCACAGCTTACATCTGGGACATTGTGGGGGCTGCAAGAAGGCAACTAGGGTGCCCATATGGTTGCTGTGGTTTCTACTTGCAAGAGCAGTTCAAAACCCCCCGGGGGGGAAACGGAAGCTCTGCTCCTGCCATGGCCAAGAGCGAGCCCCACCTTGAGAGATACTTTCAATGGAATGCACCCCACCCTTTCCCTAAGCCACAAGTAGGGCGCATTTGTTGGCAGATGGCACTTGGCAAAAGTGGGTGAGGATTTCACCAGTTAATTTCTTCCCAGCGCTGTGGAGTGGCTTGAGGGTTGGACTGTGACTCGAGAGGCCAGGGTTAGTTTCTCTACTTGGCCATGCAAGTAACTCACATGGCAGCCTTCACTTTTTTTTTCTTGTCAGGGGCAACTTGAGAAACTGCAAGTCGCTTCTGATATGAGAAAATTGGCTGTCTGCAAGGATGTTGCCCAGGAGATGCCCAGATGTTTTGATGTTTTACCATCCTTTTAGGAGGCTTCTCTCATGTCCCTGCATGGGGAGCTGGAGCTGACAGAGGAAGCTCATCCACGCTCTCCCTGGATTCGAACCTCTGACCGGTTGGTCTTCAGTCCTGCCAGCACAAGGGTTTAACCCATTGTGCCACTGGGGACTCAGCCTTCATTTAAATGTGAAAAATCAGCTCTGTGAACTTAGTAAGGATACACACACACATATAGCTTTACTAAGTTCACAGAGCTGATTATATACACACACACATACACATATATATTTATATAAATAAAAATGTAATGTTCGTTTGTGGTATTCACAGAACTCAAAAACCACTGGACGAATTGACACCAAATTTGGACACAAGACACCTAACAACCCAATGTATGTCCTTCACTCAAAAAAAAAATGATTTTGTCATTTGGGAGTTGTAGTTGCTGGGATTAATAGTTCACCTACAATTAAAGAGCATTCTGAATCCCACCAACGATGGGATTGAACTAAACTTGGCACACAGTTCTCCCATGATCAACAGAAAATACTGGAAGGGTTTGGTGAGCAGTGTACTTTGGTTTTGGAGTTGTAGTTCACCTACATCCAGAGATCACTGTGCACTCAAACAATGATGAATCTGGACCAAACTCTACACGAATACTCAATATGCCCAAATGTGAACACTGGTGGAGTTTGGGGAAAATAGAATCTTGACATTTGGGAGTTGTAGTTGCTGGGATTTATAGTTCACCTAAAATCACAGAGCATTCTGAACCCCACAAACGATAGAATTGGGCCAAACCTCCCACACAGAACCCCCATGTGGACCACAGCAATGCGTGGCAAGGGACGGCTAGTATATATATATACACTAGCCGTGATGTTTTACCATCCTTGTAGGAGGCTTCTCTCATGTCCCTGCATGGGGAGCTGGAGCTGACAGAGGAAGCTCATCCACGCTCTCCTTGGATTCGAACCTCTGACCGGTTGGTCTTCAACAAAGGTATTATTCAACAAAGGTATATTTAAAGCCAGAACACGGGAAAGATACTTTAGACTAAATCTCCACTAATCCCCAGTCAATGTGTGTTCTGGCTATGGAACCTGTCACCTTGTCAGTAAGCTTTAGAACTAAAAGTCCAAAAAAACCCTCAACCAACTCTTCTGTGAACAAACGTCTGTATGCATGCAACCAGCTATTTAACAAACTCTAGGGTTGCCTGCTTTGCCCACAGCTCTCCAAGGTAAATTGTATTATACTTGGCTTCTCTTTCATTTTTAATAATAGACACACCAAAAGGTCAAGAATGCGGTTTAGAGTTGTCCACACCTCCATCCTCACCCTAAAACCAGGTAATTTCCTGTCACTGAAACTACTTTGAAAATTAGAACTACAACTTTCACCATACCCAAGTGACACAGCTGACAACAGTAACAGTTTCAGTCCAATACATCCAGCAGGTTGGAGAAGGCCATTTTCAGGACATTGTTTGGATTTGCCCACAGCCTTTCAGCTTCTGTTTAGCCAAGAATGACAAACCAACATTTGAGAAAATAAATGTTTTATTAGTTTTTTTTAAAGGGATCAAATACTCAAAACATTGAAAACCCCTTTCAGATCACAACTAGCGTTTTCCACTAGCATCCTTTTGTTTAGCTTGATCTGCTCCAACAATGGAAAAAGCCAACCACATCAGGTGTTTTGTGCTGCTCTGGTCAGATTCAGAGAGACAACTGCCGAACACAATAGACTGGGATTGGAGAGATCATGCTGCTGGAATGGCATGAGAGAAAACTTGGTAGGGCTAAGGCATACTATGTAGAAAGGACAAATTAATGTTCACAGCAGGCAGTTATTTTCAGGACTGCTTTAAGCCTTGCAGGCTGGGCAAATGTGACAACTGATAATTATTTGGTGGACAAGTAAGACAGGACCAGATGGAATTAGCTTTGTCAGGCTCAGCCACGATGAGGGTGGCAAGCCTGGAGTTATCCAAGAGCAAACACTGCCTACCCTCCTTCAACATTCACATTTAAGTAGTAACCTGACCTACCTAGTATTATCTCAAGAGCAGCTGCTGGACTGCAACTCTTAAGTCGTACAGCCAAAGATATTAAATCAGTGGTTCTCAACCTGAGGTTCCCAGATGTTTTTGGCCTACAACTCCCAGAATTCCCAGCCAGTTTACCAGCTTTTGGGATTTCTGGGAGTTGAAGGCCAAAAACATCTGGGGACCCCAGGTTGAGTACCACTGTATTAAATGCTGGAAGCTGTAATAGAAGCATCTGGAAGGAGACACGCTACTCCCCAAAACAGCTAGTCCAGAAGTAGGTATTCGTGGCCTACCAAATCCTTAGGTCAATACTTCATGATGGCCTCAAGCACTGCCAGTGGGTAGAACGTTTCAAATTATTTTACACCACTGTTAGATACCACTAAACCAGAGCAGCCTTGGATATCAGCAGTGAAAAAGAAGAGTATTAACACCCAGCAGCCCGTCACTATCCTACAATGCCTGTGCTATAAGTGTCTCGCCCATTAATTTTAAAGGATCTAAATCAGGCATGGGCAAACTTCGGCCCTCCAGGTGTTTTGGACTTCAACTCCCACAATTCCTGGCCACAGGTTCCTTCCTTTTCCCACTCGGGGGAAAAAAGGAAAGGACCCGAGGCCAGGAATTGTGAGAGTTGAAATCCAAAACAACTGGAGGGCCAAAGTTTGCCCATGTCTGATCGAAATGCAAGCTGCATAAATACATAGAAAGGAGACGCTAGCGTGAATTCCTTTACTGAAGCTATGCCACGCTCCCATATGAACAGAGCACCCACCGGATATTCCTGGACTCTCACCAACATGACCAATGGTCCGCGAGGCTGGAGTTTTACTCCAGAACATTTAGAGGTCAATCATTCTGAAGAGGGCCACAGAAAATGTGTGCTTTCTATTGGCACTGAAGTACCATCGGAAGATTGTTTTGCAGCAGAGAGGAACGAGGACTCATTTGGAAGCCCTTTATTGTGCTTGGCCCCACTTTTGCTCAGGCCAGTGGGGCAGAAGGTTGGCCTGGTGGGTGAGCAACCAGAACAGAACAATGACATCTTTTGTGTGGTCAAGCAAGAAGAATCCAACAGAGTTCAATACATTGTATTTATTTATGGTGACAGATTCTAAAGAATCTAGCAAGTCTCATGTCAGGCCTAGTGCATGACAAGTTTTGACAGCTGCAGAACACGTTCAAACATAAGTCGGGAAGTCCCATTCAAAGTGTCATACTTTTCTAAACCTCAGGGTATCCACACACATACAATCACAGCATATATCTGATGCAGCCTCCATTTGTAAGAGTTTAACTACACACACATATACACACCCTTCCCATGCCACAAAAGTGCATTTTTTAAAAATTCCTCCAGCAAGCCCTTAGTTATAGGGGAAGCTTTAAAAAAAACAAAACCCACAGTATCTATCATTTTAAAGAAGCAGTTCTATTATTTATCCTGGCCGTAATTCAGCCAAAAATGCTGCTAATCAGTTTTATTACTTTAGTGAAAACCCAGTTCTGCCCTTTTATATGTGAAACATTGAGAGGCTGCCTAAGAAGATAAGTGTAAAAGAAACCCTTTCAGTGTGTGAAAAAGAAAATCTTAAGTCGCTCTACATCAGGCAACGCCACCACATTTCTCTTGGAACATGGAAGAAATCAGTGACATACAAAGGAAGGATCTAAACAACCAAGATAACTCCCTGCTTACATAGTATGAGACTTCTTTAAAAGTGGATAGCTGCCCCTTTGTAGCTTGTAGGAGTTGTGAAAGTGGGCAAAAGGAGGAGCAGATATTTGTCAGTATGGCAGAATATGTAATATGGGTTTGGTCTTGCCAATCCAGCTCACATTTCCCAGGAAGAGGCAGAATTTTACCTAGACACAATCCAAGTATGATATTTTATTTCAGTTTTTTTTTCAGCCTGCCCCAATACGGTACAGTTTTATTGCAAAGGAACAAGATAAGTACGTTGACCTTCAAGGATACAACCATGAAGCCATTCTTCATATAGCCCTTTCAAGAGCAGGCCTGCCCAAAAGCTACAGTGTTCATTGCCTCAGCTTTCTAAAAAAAAGCATAAAGAACTAACCTGAACTGACACATTATACAAAGAATTGCGATGCAATCCAAAACATCAGGAAAAGAAAAAGGGAGTATTGTGCTGTATAATTACTTCAAAAGCATATGTGTTTGTACAAGACACTAATAGTCTTCTGGACACAGATAACTGGCTTTAAACAGCTCTCTCTCTAGGAAAGACCAAACTTTAGGGCACATCATTCATTTAACAAAAGGCCTAAAGTTAGGCAATAATATCAATTCTTATTCTGACATGGAGAGGAGCAGGTGGGCACAGGCAACTGATAAGAACAGATGAGCAGCTCTCAAGACTGAAGATCATTCTAGAGAGGCTGCAATGGTTTCCATTAAGAGGGCTGGGATTCTTGCAATCACAGCTCTATGGCTGCGACCAAGAATGCACTGGACTGTCCACATCTGGCCATGTTTCAGGTCCAGTTCATTTTAGCCTGCTGCTAGTTGGTCGACACTATTTCATATTACAACAAACTCTCCTTACTGCCCTCTTCCAATCGAAAGAGTGCACTGATGCAAATCCTTTTCTTCACAAATTCACCTCTTAGGTTTTTGGCACTGCACATTTATTTGAGTAGTATTCTGGGGACAGGTCCCGGTTCCTTTTCTTTCTCACAATAAGGTGCAACATCCATCCTGTCAAAATATCACTATTATGAACCACAGCTTTGACTACAACTTCCAGGTTCCCAAAGTGAACAGGGCCAATAGCCATGCTGGCCTGGGGTGGGGGGTTGTCTGGGAGTTGTAGTCCGAAAATATAATTTCTCCAAATGCTAGTATGGACCCAGACCCCTTTATTCTTGGCTCTGCTCTAACTATTAATCAATACTGCTGGTCCATCAGATAGAAAATCATGGTGCAGTGGCTGCTCTTGCAAACCCTTGCCCATGCCCTTTTTCTTTTCGAGAAATGATTCAGTGACCCTATCCCCCAAAATTAATTGTAGACATATCCAATTGAACCACTAATAGGGAACTCTCTTCCCTACAGAAAAAAAAATCAAAGGTTAACAGGCACTTGAATAGGATTTCTTTGGTCCCTTAAAAGGAATCAGCCGCTTTGGCGTATCTTCTGAAACTGAGTCTGCACAACCATTAATGCTTCTTGTACTAAAAGGAGAAAAAAATCAGCTTGCATTTCAGGTAGTGCAGCTCTACCTTTAAATCTAATCCTATCCACCCACCCCATACATAACTCAAGCATTTTTTAATTGTAAACATTTCTGATAGCTACTCATAACACTGCACAATTGCCCCACAATATACAGCAGACTTAGTTCCAATGAAGGAGCAAGAGGACCATTTTTTTTCTTCAGAGCACACAACCTCTGCTCCCCAAGTGACAAAGACTGGCACCACTTCAGTGCTCAGTTGCAGGGGAGCCAGGTTGGGTAGGAGTGACTGCAAGGCAGGAGAGGCTGCATGTGGGTGACATAGTAGTTGACATTGATTTCACTGACATACGGTGCTGGCTGATAATAGCACGTGACATTTGTGACCGTTGGGATTATGTTCTGCTCAGCCAGGACCCTCACAGCCAACATGGCAATGAGGTTTAACGTCTGCCTCCTTTCATGTCCCATCAGGCACACTGTACTTTCATTCACCACTCTGTGAAGGGTCATCAGGCAATCATACCTTTTACTCTCCATTCCAACAAAGTGGCTCTGGAGGTAAGACTCTAGCTTCCTCTGCTGCTCCCCTATGTCAGGAAAGTCAATAAAAAACCTGGAACACATGTATCGCTGTAGTGCCTTCATGTCAACTTCAGATTTGGGCTTAAATCCTCTCACGAGAAGGTTGCAGTACTTCAGAAGTCCCCCTCCTCTGATTTCTTCTGGATTCCTAGTGGCAATGATTCGGTTCCTCAGGTGGTCCATCGCCTCCTCAAAGTCCCCATACATGCTCTCCCCAGTGACAGTTGGGTGGAAGTTTGCAGACATTGGGTTTTCAGAACACTCCCCAAAAAGCAACAGTGAGTCCAATATTATCTGGAAGGAATCCACGCTGAACTCAAACTGACGTCGGAGAGAGTCTACAAATTTGAGTTCCACATTCTTCCCGCTGTTGTTTGACAGTGATATAAGGCTCCAGCGATCTGTTTCATTGCACACTTTCACTAGTTTCTGCACATAGGCCTCCTTCAGAGTCATGGGAGTGATCTTATCTTTGTTTACCCCTTCTGGGAGGAAGTCCAAGAGACAGTCCATCACAACATCTTTCACCAGTTGGAAGACATCCTCACTTTTTAGGTCAACTCCAAAGATGAGATCCAGGTCTTTATAGCCCAGACCACTGTCCTGATGCAGCACGTAGCTTGCTGCTGAGCCATTCAACCTCACATTGTGGACTGTGATGCCATGTTTTTCCAGACGGCTGCGGACCACCTGCAAAAAAAGAAGAGGGAGACTGCTGTCAGCATTGAGAGTTAGGAAAACAGAAGACAACTACCTAAGAACCTTCAACTACCCAAGAACCTTCAACAAGCATCTGGCTGGGGAGTTTGAATATGTGTTTTGTGTTATTTAGAGCATGAGTTGGATCACAAACACTCCACTACTGAAAAAAAAGTGGCAGCACTTGTGACTATTATCTGCACCACCAAGATCATAGCACCTTCCTTCTTTCCTATTGTGTCAGAAAGTAAAGCAGACGCTCTGTCCCAGTGTTCTCACACAGCTCTATGATGCAGCAAAACTCTTCAGTACTCTCCTGTAATTGTAGTAACAAATATGGTGATGATCACCAGCAATGTATGCATTCACTCTATGTCCCCTGCTGTAGTGAGGCTCCCTGAGCACAGTACCTGTCTATATTTAATTTAGAACCCATTTAGAAGCAGCACAGGAGGATAACCTCATCAGATACATCATTATCCCCTCACAGCTGCCTTATACAGAAACCTACACACATTTTCTCTGAGGAGCCATTGGCATGCTGAAGAGAGAAATTAACTGGGAACTGACATGGAGATTCAATCCCAAGTAAAGCCAGATCAAGTGAATCAACTGCTGAATGGCTTGTCTCTTATGCACACCCACTGAATCACCAGCTTTACCACAGCTGAACCAGCAACTACAGTTAGCACAAAGAGTTGTCTAACAAATATGACCATCTGCTTTTTGCTATTAAAAAATAACAATACAGAAAATCCAGTCACTGATCATCTGCCATTGCATCTAGTTTGACCTTAAATACACTTCATATTCTGGCTCTAACAGCTGCATGCTTACTAATGGGACTTCAAATCTTTCACAATGTGAACTGGTGAAGCTGCTTCTATTTGCACCTTAAAGCAACACATGCAACTACTTTTATCCTTTGGCCAGGATTTTATGAGAATTTTCCTTGAAATACAAAATGGCAGGAAGAGTCAAGGGACGAGCTTGCAAAATCAAACATGCCTGATACAAGATTTAGACAACAAAAGGTAATCTTTGTGTGGTGCGCCTACTAAAATTCAAGTTTCTCATCTGCACTGGACAGACTTTCTGGGGCATCTACAAGATTAGCTATGCCTTCAGAAGTTACTTGTAGGAATTAAGGTCATAATATGTCATATGGGCAACCCTCTGGCTGCTAGTGACACTTTCTAGAACTCTTACTATAACTTCAGTAGGAATATGGGAAAACAGATGCAGTTCTCTACTTCAGTTTGAATACAATTAGGCAGAAGACTGAATTACAGTTAACTTAGACACGTCAACAAAGCCTAAATACTCTAAAGGCACCAGATTATGTCTGATCTAGTAAACTAAACTCCCAGCCTTGGTTAGTATTTGGATGGGAGACCATCAACACATATTAGGTGCTGTGGGTTCTATTTCAGAAGAAGGAACTGGAAAAAACACTTCTGTGTATGCTTTGAAATTTATGAAATTTATGAGGTTGCTATAAGTTGACAGGCAACCTGCACACACACACAAGCTACATGTTAGCTGTCCTCTGACTAAGTTTATGTATTTATTTATTACACTTGTATACTGCCTTTCTAAACCTACCGGCAACTCAGCCTATCGGTGACTAAGTAAGGCTAAAACAGTGGTTCTCATTTTGGATTTCAGCTCTTATAATACCCAAACCACTGGTCATGTTGATCAGAGCTATTGGGAGTTGAAACCTAATGCATCTGAAGCACAGCCCTGGCTGAAAATCACTGGACTCAAGGTAGAGATGAATGATCAAGAGAGAGGCAATGATAACAAAAGATACATGTTTATCAGTGTCAACAAAAACCACAAATAGCCTATGTTTATAGTCATGTCATGCCTCCAATATATGGTAGAGGTGTGGGTGGGAGCAAATGGATAGACTTCATTTTGTCAAGTTTTTGATACCTTGGTAAAATCGTATCCTTTTCCTAGTAGCAACTCATCCAAATTAGGAGTTTGGATGAATTACACCAGCTACCCACTCACCCACTCCTTCACTATTGAAAACTATGATAGGCCTTTAATAATTAGCTATACAAGTAGAAATTCCGCTAGAATTCAACATGGTGAATTAAATAGCTATTATCAATGTTGTACCTGCCACACAAGCAAAATAAATCTACTAGGATATAACGTAACTCACTTATGGGTAGAACAAAGCTTGTAACAGAGTTAGATATCTTCCTTTTGAGAACTTAGCTTAATTGCAGCAGTGTGATCTTCACACCCAAGAGGTCCACCACAGTAGCTCAAATGCCTGAACATCTTATATTTTTTACCTCATTTGGTTTGGAGGAACACACAAAGAAGTGACTGCCTTTTTAGGTTATGTAAGACTGACACCTCTGCATTTAGGAATGACTCATATTTATCTGTTCGGAGACATGTGCCATTGTTCATATGAGAAAACTGCTGTTGAGCCACACAAAGCATGCAACTATGGATTTTTTGAAGTATAGGAAGAACAGTATCAGCTGCCCTTTAATTAGCATTTAATTAACATTAGCATGCTACATTAGCATGACCACAGACCCAAGCTCAAACAGACATTTTTGTAATTGGACAGCCTCATTATGGAACAGGCATTGGAACCTTTTTATAGCCCTCTATCCTTGACACTGTGGAATCTTATATGTACAAATGCTTGTGGGTTTCTCATGTTAGGGCTGAATACGTATCCTGGGCAATTTGCATGTTTCCTTGTGAGTCCCAAATAAATGTCCTAAAACGGAGGCCAAATGGTGGTGAAACCCTAAGAACCTTCCACCTCTGCTACTACCTTTTGCAATATTGGTTTCACCAGCAGCAAGGAAAAATTGAACCCCCCCCCCCCCCAAAATCTGTTGAATTTGGGAAGAGGGAACTTTTCATAGTACACGAAGCTCCTAATGAGAGCAAGGTAAAAACTAGTCCCCTGGAGCCATTGCAATGTGATATACTGGTGCCTTTCTCTGTAATTTCCTTCACCATGCTAAATACAGACTCCACTGTGGTAGTTCAATGCTCCACCCCATCCCAGTGCTCTCTACTTTCATTTGAGTGCCCAAACCTACATGCTGGCCTAAATATTACAGCAGAAATATGCCAAGTTGCAATTGACACAAAGTAGGTAGCAAGCATAATCTTTAGTGTTCACTATTTACAAAAATTTGGTGATTCAAACTGTCACCCAATCACTGAAGTGACCCTACTTATATGTACCAAATACTGTATAAGTTAGGAAGGCCCCCACCTTAGAAAATTTCAAGAGGAATCTCAAAACTTGGTTTTTCTGATGTGCTTTTGGAGAGTAGCCATATTACCATACACAGTTGCTCCCCCTCAACGGTTTTTGTCCCCAGAGTATATTCCCCACCTGTATGAAGGTATATATTTATGACCCCATTCCTTTACGAGTTTCTCCCTCACAATCTGCTCCATCCCTATCTCATCCTGATTTTAGTATTTTTAGTATCTTAGTTTTTATCCGCTCATTGTTATGTTATTTTATTTTACTGTGTATGATTTTGCTTTATCATCTTTGTACTCATATGTTGTATGTATTTTACTGTGTTGTTATTGTGCTTTGGTTTTACTTTACTGTAATATGCTGTTGGGCTTGGCCTCATGTAAGCCGCCCCAAGTCCCCATTGGGGAGATGGTGTCAGGGTATTAAATAAAGATTATTATTATTATTATTATTATTATTATTATTATTATTATTTATAATGCTGTTATCACTACAGTTCTATTCCAGCCTCTCTGAAGCATAAGAGTGATCTTTGGTTTTGGAAAAATATGCCAATATTACATAAGGCTGGTAAGGCTTTGAGTATGGTCCCAAAGGTAGACTATCTAGCTGTCCTTTGAAGACTAATCCAGTCAATTAAGAGTGATCTGTGACCAGAAAGATGGGCATCTGCATTGACTGAGGGCATACCTACATTAATGCCCCCTTTACAGTAGTCACCGCAGCAGTTCTGGAAGGAAGATTACTTCAACATGCAGCCTCTACTTTTCTTTAAACTCTCTGGATTTTAAAACAAGAGGATTAGCTTTTGTTTAGCCATTATATCAACCCACTCAGGTTGCTATAAATGAGCATATGATGTCACTCTTGCTTGTATAAGGTAAACATGTTACTTCCTAAATATACCATAACAGGTTGCGTCCACTGCGATTCATTACCAATACTAAATATTCAAGGCTGTTCATTATCAATACTAAATGTTAACATACCAAGGTGGCAAACGTTAAATGGATGAGAGACTAATTTTCCAGTGGATGCTCAGGAGCCAGATCACAGCTTTCTTTCCCATTCAGTATAATTTCCTAAACATGAGAATCAGTCAGGAATTGTTTATTATCCGTTGGCTAAAGTTCCTTCTGGACATGACCACTTCCTCTACCTTTTATCTCCTGTTCAACCAAATCCAGCTCAGCAACAATCAAGCCCCTTTCTCATGAGCTACAAATTAAACTCTTTATCGCCAAACTTACTATGCTACACTTCCCATCTTCTCAATTCAACACTATTTCTTTCATCAACACTTGCTGCAGTAGCTACATACCAATCACCTTGTCCCAATGAAACGCTTCAAGGGTCCTCACACTTCTTGACATCTGTGCTACTGATTCAGAGGGAGCAACAACACAAGTCCCTCTACATTAACCACAGCTATTCTACTAAAAGGATCAGTTTCTAAACATGAGCAAGACCTACTAATTGTGTGGCAAAGGTAGATCAAATGTAGCAGGCTACAGCCATCCAGTTATTGTTAGGCTCCCAGTAATCCTCGTAACTGCCTATACTGTCAGAGCTGCTGAGCGTTAGGTAAAGGAAGAAGGTTTTCCCCTGACGTTAAGTCCAGTCATGTACGACTCTGGGGGCTGGTGCTCATCTCCATTTCTAAGCCAAAGAGCCGGCGTTGTCCGTAGACATCTCCAAGGTCATGTGGCTGGCATGACTGCATGGA